AGGACACCAGGGGAGACTCGATGGAATTCAACTTATGATGTCATATGTCGACTTTTGGAACCAAGGGTAAAAGAAAAACTCCTTCTAATCATGGATGCATTGAAATGCGTCATTTCAAAGTGGAGTTGGAGGTATTGGAAGAATACAAGCAGTATATGAAACCTATTGCTAATGCTCTGGACAAACTGCAAGGGAAAAATAATTGTTTTCTGATGCCAAGGGTTCAGCAAGTTTGAAAGAAACTTGTAGTGCTTGTTCTAAAAGTTATCCACTGTGGAAGTTTAATTAAGGGATTGATTTCAAACATAGATCAGCGTTTCCCACATTTGTTTGCATATAATCCAGAATTTATGAAATTGCAACAACATCTGGAACTGATGATTTTTTTTTTTTCGAATTCGAATCACCAAAAACAAGCTGCATACAAGGTAGTCAGTCAGTAGTCACTATCAAGTGTTTACAATTTTGAAGATGGTTTATACACATCATTAGCATGTTAGGAACAATATCCTGTTGTGAAGAAACTTTTCAGAGATGTTAATGCATCCTCTGCTCCAGTTGAATGGCTATTTTCTAAAGGAGCCTTAATTGCTGTGCCACGCTGCAATCGTTAATCAGATAAACATTTTGAACAATTGTTGTTGCTGAAAGCCAATAAACATTTAGATTAGATTTTATTGTCATTTTAAACTTTAGTTGCTTTAAATCACTTTCAATAGCCTTTTTTTTATTTTTTGCTTTTTAAAGTATTTTGTATTTTAAGTACTTTTATATTGAGTATTTTGTATTTTATATTTTAAATACCATCGCTTGAGTGTATTTTGTATTTGTATTTTAATTACTTTTTGATCCAGTATTCATATTTGTATTTTAAATACTTTTTTAAAAGAATTTTTTACAACACTATTTGTCACATTCCATACTGAATTTTTGTACACTAACCACATAACATTTTATTTTAAATATCTACTTATTATATTTATGATATTACAACCATAGTAGGAATGATTGGTTACTTAAAGTTACTAATTACTATTTTCTATCTGCTTTGTGTTACTTCTAGCAAATTTTTGTGTTACATATTGCAAATGTTTATTTTAATATATGCGCATACAGGCGTGTATATTTTGTCTTTTCAAATGCACATACATACATGATATTTATATGTTTAGGATTCATAGCTAACCATGTGCATTTCTAACCACCTTTACAATATTTCTAAGAATGTTGATGCTAAACTAAAAGTTGGGATAGGGTTTGGAAAAGTTGGCTTTTGTAGTGTAGTCCAGTTAAATTGCAATATCAACTACCATGACATAATTGCAAACCATGAGATTTGTTACAAGAACATGCCGTGTGACCCTGACAAGTGGCGTTAGTGCAGGTCTTGAATTCCCTGAAATATCATTGGTGTTTGCAGTGCATTTTTGAGCATGGGAGATCATCTTTTACTCACTACTTAAATCTAATTGGCTGTAACAGCACCAACATTTTTTTACCTCTTCATCCTATTATTTTCAGCGTTCTTATTATTTTCATTTGAAGAGTGTTTTTATTTTTTATCATATATTTATATTTTATTCTTTTTATTACATTATCTTGGATTCTTTTACGCCACCACTGTTTTTTGACATTTAGTAATGCGAGCACTTATAACTAATAATAAAGTATTTTTTTCTTATTTCCCTTTGTTACTATAGCACCATGGTTCAATGTGTTGCTTAGCATGTCAGTGATTCAGGGTTCTCATCGGTGCAAGGTGTTGTTTTTATATTCCCATCTTTTGGTCATGCTAGTAATAGGGTTTCTCAAACGGGATCCCGTTTTCCCGGGATTCCGGGGATAAAAGTGGCAGCGGGATTTCCTGGGATATCACTCTTATATCCCGGAATACAATTTTTTTAAAATTTTACATATGATAACTGTTTGAACCAATTCGACCAAAAATAAGAAAAATATTATTGCATTTAGTTGTGTTTTATGTGTTCATACCTTATATTAAAACCTAGAACAACAAGAAAGGTTATTGAAACTTAAACTATCTAACTCAAAGAATGCATTTCAATTCGATGTTTTCTTTTTTCTTATTATTATACGATATGAGTAAAAAATAAAAAAGATTTCTTGCGACAAAAACAGTAAGTTTGATTTTTAAACTTCTAAATTATTGAAAAGTTATACTTTTTCTTTATTGAGTTATTGAAATATTTAATAATTTTTGTATTTAAAAAATGGAAAACAAAGACATTTATAGTCATACGTAAGATAACATTCATATGTAAGAAATATTTGTAACTTTACTTTTAGTTGTTTTATGATTCAATTTAGTTATACCATGTCAATTGTAAATGGATCGAAAACATGGCAGTATTTTTGTAAAGAAAAATCTGGCAAATCTACAATTTGCAAAAAGTGCAATGTAAAGATAATGTGCAAAGGATTTTCGACAAGTGGGCTCCTACATCATTTAAAAAAGGCATATAAAGATTTGGATTTAAATATGAAGCGTCAACATGAAGATACTGGTTCAGAAATTAAAATTGTGCAAAAGAAAATCATATTGTTTGTTAAACAGCAGACTATCGAGGAAATTGTGTCAAACCTAGCTACAGTGGATGGCTTCTTAATAAATGTCATAACAAAAAATGAATTCTTCAGAAAATCATTGTCTGAAAAATGATTTTACCATGTTATTACCAAAAAAACCATCCGATGTTATGGATATGATAAAAAAATAGTATGGTTTAGCTAAACAAACTGTGGTAACAAAAGAAGTATCTAGCGGGTCGTGATTTTCTTTATTAGACAAATATACCTCTTTAAAATTCACTCTTATTAACAAAGTTTTGGAATCTGGGAATGACTCCGATAGCTGGATCACTTCCTGCAGAAAAATTGTTTATCTAGTTGAAAATAAACTGTCATATTTCTTTTTATCAATTAAAAAGCAGATCATAGCTAGTGTCACTGACGGAGCACTCGTAATGAAAAAATTTGGACGGCTAAGTGGTATTGAACATCAACTGTGTTATGCCCATGGACTTCATTTGGAAGTATGTGATGTTCTTTACAAAAAGTCAGACTCTTCAGCAAAATATATTGAATTTGAACCGCAGTTTCAAGCTTACGATCAAAATTTGAGTGATTACAATGAGTTTGACTATAATGATGAGTCATGGAGCTCAACAGGCGTTGTTTTTATTTATGATTTACAAAATAGCGTAAATATAGTGTTAACAATTCAGAAGGTTCAAAAAGTGTTACTAAAGTTCCGAAAATCACCTCTCAAAAATGAAGTTTTACAAATGTACGTAAAATCTATGTCTCATAAAGAACTTAAGCTGATATTAGATGTCAAAACGAGGTGGAATAGTCTTGTTGCAATGCTAGAAAGACTCCTTAAAGTAAAAACATGTATATTAAAAGCAATGATCGATTTGAATGAAGTTCTGAATATCTCCAAAGATACATATGCGAATATGAACGAAATAACAATTTCTCTGCAACCGATAAAAATTGGAATAGAAAGACTTGGTAGAAGTGCTACTCTACTTGACGCAGAAGGTGTAATGATATTCATCTTAGACAATTTGGCGGAAATTTGGCGGAGAAAAATTTTTTTATAGCTAATAAACTGCTTCAATCTGTGCAACAGAAAATTGAAGAATGCAGAAATGCCAATTTAATTGGACTACTAAAATTTTTAAACACCCCAAGTTATAATCAGAAGTTATAATCACCCCAAGTTATAATCAGAAATCATATATCAACTCCAAACTACTCTTATCGTCCAAAAATGCATTAAAAGCAACAGCAAAAAAAATTTATATCAGGTTGTACATAGAAGATGCTAGCACTAGTTCATCAAATAATGAAATAGTTGAAGTGAGTTGTGATAATGAAAGCATGGTTTCTAATTTGTCAATACCTCAACCTGTTGATTTTTATTAGGCAAAAGCATTTTGATACTTGAACAAAAATTGTATGTGACTATTTGTAATGTCAAACAAATAGAAAAAGCAGCTCTAGAAAACATTTGCAATTTAAAAAACCTTACAGAGGAAATCAAACTTTTTGAGGCAATTGGAGAGCGTAATGAAAGTTTAGAAATAATATACTCAACATTAATGACCATTAAGTCGACATTAATTGAATCAGAAAGAGCTTTTTTTGCTGCGAGTCTATTTATGGGAAAAATTTGTTTACGATTAAGTGACAAATCAATTGATTGTTTATGTTTTTTAAAACAATATTTTATAGTAATATAGATTAGCATCCTAAGATAAATTTGTGACAGAAACTGCTTGTTATTGTATTAAAAGTTATGCCCGGAAATCCCAGGATAAATAAGTTACACACCCTGAATCCCAGGATGGTAAATTTACGGGAAATGAAAAACCCTATCTTGTAATCATCAGTTAGCATTTTTTAACATAGAGATTTTTTTAACTTAAAATGAGTCTCGCTACTCCTCTGGATACCCATTTTTTTATATTCTTAGTTAACAACTCCTCAATCTAAAATCTGTTTTTAGAATCACCACTTCCATGTCTGCCTGACTAGGTGGCTTTGTGAGTCACCTGTATGCAATCTTTGTGTGTTGTAAAAGCTGTATACATTTTTTTATGATTATTGTTTGATTTTTCTCTGGTTGTAATTTGATAGTTACAGTATTTTTGTGTGATTTTTTTTAGTGAGTTTTTCAAGTATTTTTTTGTAATAATCATAACATCATTATGTGATTTATAATTATTTTGTGATTTTTTGGTTCATATTTGACCATTAAAGTTATTTTTGTGATTGTTAAAAGATTTTTTTAGTATATTTTTACACAATGACATTTTTGTTTGGTATTAATGTGTTTTTAATATAGTTTTTTAATATATGTGTTTTTATTTTTAACCTTGTGGAATCATTGTCAAAACTTTAATCATAAAAAATAAAGTTAAAAAATAGTGTTTAACAATAATATATTAAAATTGTATTTACATGTTATTTAGGTTTCCTTGTTCAAGTATTCGTTTATGGAAAACTATGGTTATTGGTGGATATGGCAGTGGTCATATTCGTATTTTTAATGCTGTAACAGGCAAAATTATAGCTGAAATAACTGCTCATGCCAAATGGATTAATGCTATTGATGTAGCTGAGGATAGTGGATTAGTAAGTTTTTTTATTTTATATTATGAAATGGATTAATGCTATTGATGTAGGTGAGGATAGTGAGTTAGAAAGTTTTTTTATTTTACATTATTAGAGGAGATGTGGTAGATTTATCAGAGCATAAGGTTAATAGGATTTTTTAGTGTAAAAATCTTCTGTTCAATCCTTTTAAAAACAACTTATGTTTACAATATTATCACAACTTTAACAAAATTTAAAAAAATAAACTAAAGAATCTAATGGTTACAATATTATCACAACTTTATCAAAATACAAAAATAAACAAAAGAATTTATTGGTTACTACATAGAATCCTCGGACCCTGGATAAGTCGGACTTTTACTAAGCTGGACAAATTTTCAATTCCCCTTGCATTCCCTATACATACCAAATGCTTCGCTTAACTCAGACATTTGCTAAGTCGGACAAAATATATATACCCATTCCAGGCCTTGTGATGAATAAAAACTGTGTGACGCATAAGCACGACGTGATTTTTGACGTCATTAAATTCTTTTTATTTGCTTTTCATATTTATCGACATTAACTGCACCAATTTACTTAATTACCGCAAAACTACTTTAAATCATTAATGTAGAAATGTTATTATTTAAAAATGTTTTCGAATGTTTAGTTTTTTAAAATGTAAAAACATTTGTTTATTTTCTCGACGTTTGACACGTTTTGTCTATACTAAACGAATAAAAAACATTATAACTAAACATTTAAAAAAGATTATAAATGCTAATATTTGATTTTTTTTTTTTCTCAAATATGTAATTTAAAGTTTTTCAAATAGTTATTTTTTCTTCTTAAAAAGTCAGCGATTAATAAACTGGAAACTTTAATATTGTACGATTAAAAACTGTGCAATAGCTAATATTTTTACCAGCGATTTTATATAATATTTATTTATTTATTTATTTTTATTTATTTCGATAAAGCGGTTGATAAGCACAATCACTCGTATTGCTAAAAAACTTTAACAAACGTTTTGAATAGATTTTTAATGTTTACAAGGAATTTTATTTTTGGTAAAATAAAATAAAATAAAATGTTAGAATAAAAATCTTATAGGTATAATATAATAATATATATATAAAAGACATATTTCAGCGAAAAAATTATTCTTAAAAATTATTATTAAAAATTATTCGAAAAACTATTGACGTTCCATTTTTCAGCAGCTGTTCTTGAGCATGCTTCGTTGAGTTTCGGTAACTTCTAACAAAAAAGCGATTGTTATTATTTAAGTAATTTTTTTTTAGAGTTACTTTTTACAAAAATTTTAATAGCTGTACTTTTTTATTGAATCAAGTAGAATACGTTTTAATATTAATCCTTTTATTTTTATTTTATTTGCGCTTACCAATTTTTAAAAAATTTCCTCGAAATTACTCTTAAATACTTTAAATACGTCTAACAGTTAATAAATATTTTTAAATCTATGGAATAATTTTAAAACAAACCCCCGTAAAACAATTGTTTAAGTTAAAAATCTAAAACTAAAAGTAAGTATTTTTGTTCAATTTTATCAACAACTTTGCTATTGCTGAATAATTTTATTAAAAAGATTTAAACTTTTTTTTTATCTGAATTTTTTCTACTTGTAAATAATGAGCATATTTAATTTTTCTTTAATTCAAACTTTTATATCAACAGCATGCGGTTTTTAAAATACTTTATTAAATGTTAAAATAATCGTAAATTACTTCATTAAAATTCCGCTCAAAAATATCTTTAAATATACTCAAACAAAAATTTTTTTGCTCGACGCAAATAGCCCTAGCTACACGCAAAATCGCTCTTGGACGACGTAAAATTCACATCGCCCGACGCTTTATCGCAAGGCCTGTCATTCAGAGTCCGAGTTAATGTGATTCTATTGTATTAGAAAATTAGGTTAAAAAAATTAGAATTCAAAAGTTTAGGATTTGAATCATAGTTGTAAAAACTTACAAATGGTTGATTTATAAACAAATTTACAAATTGGATTTATAAACAAATTTATTGCGATTCCCTGAGCAGTAGTTATAAACAAAACATTGTATAAACAATATTTTGTTTACAACTGTCAAATCTGACATAAACTTAAATTTTGATATTAACTGTCAAATCTGACATAAACTCAAATTTTGATATTAACTGACAAATCTGACATAAACTCAAATTTTGATATTAACTGTCAAATCTGACATAAACTTAAATTATTTAAAAACTTTGGCATATAAAATTCGCCAAATGGTCACACACGAGCAGTGAATGCCTGAGGGAAGAAATGAAGTACATTAGAATGAAGGAGAATTATTTATTAGACTAAGCATATTTTGACAGTTGTCAAGACAAAAATAAAGATTAATAGAGGAATACTTAAAAATAAATAAGACAGGCTATACACCCACAACAATAATAACAATAAAAATAAATTAAAAAAAAAAAAAATTGTTTTCTAAACATCAATATGAACAAAGATATACATCACCAGACAAAAACTTATAAAACAAAAAACCGATCACAAAATAAAAAATCTGATAACAACAATGAAAGGCATTTAATAATGGAAAAAAAAAACATTAATGCTAATGTGTAAACATAATTTGTGTAGTGATTAAGTAATAAACATCTCCTCAGAGTCGCGTCTATTATTACTGGCATTTCGATGAGGATCAGCATTTATAGCTAGTTTATCCCGTCAGACAAACGTCATCGCCAGTTATGCTTTACCCCGCGAAAAACGAAAAGAAGACTGTCAAATCTGATATTAACTCTGATGAATTCCTGATATGGAATTGATCAGAGTAGATTGAGAAATTGACAATCTTCTTTTTAAATAAGTTTCTTAGTATAAGCATGGCTGCTATCAAACAGGTTATCCAGATTATCTTGTAATGTTCTACCAAATACTGATCTATGGCATTATTTATTGAATGGTGTTTCATTAACCCAGCGTACTAAGTTATCTTTAACTTTATTAATATTATCTGGTTTGTATCATACTGGAATTCGTGGCTTCAGTCAAAAAGACAACAACTGATCATATACTCATTGTGCACTCTAAACCACTGTTAATTTCTGATTTCGGTGGCAGCATACAAAATTCTTCAATTAAGTCATGACTGGGAAGAAAGTGCACCTCTTTGATTGCGTTGCAGGGATGTCCAATCAACCAGATTACGTTACTACTACCAGTTAAAGTGGATTTTGCAATAACTTTAAAAATAATAAAAAAATGTTTAAATATATTATTATTTATTTATTAATATCATATTTATTTTTTTATATATTATATTAATATATTAAAAAATTGTGATATGTATTATGAGTATTCTCCTTATAAGATATGTGACAAAATAGGTTTGTGACAACAACTAATAAAATCATCTGATATTCTAATTATTTTAGTTATTAATTATATATATATTTTTTATTAATAATAATACTATTTATTAATAATTAATTATTATTTATTAATAATAAGTTATTAATAATATGTAAGTTTTATATCTTTCTAATTAACCAAACCTACATTATGAAATGATAATATTTAAAGAATTATTTTATTTTATTTTTTTATTCTAATTCACTCCCAACAAGGCTGCAAGCAATCACTATTAAGTTGGAAATTGCTAGAAAAAAAAGAATAGAGTTATAAGCAAAGAAACAATTGACAGAAGACTTAAAAAGTTGTTGGCTGTCAAGTCAGAAAAACAATGAAGATGAGAGAGAGTACCAAACAGTTGTAGTGTGGGGAAAAAAAAGTTGACAAATAAAAGTTTTTAAAGCATGCAGGGGCAGTTACAGTAAAAGAATGTGACTTTGGTGAATGACAAATCAAGTTAGAGTGAGATTTGGTTGATGGAACTAGAAATAATAGCTCTTTTAGACAGCAACCATGATAGTATTTGTAAAAAAGAGAAAGAAATGCAACTTTGTGACAATCAGAGAAAAGTTCAAGTTTGGCAGATAGATCAGGTCCAACTATGTTTACAATACATTTTTGAACCTTGTCTAGAAAAACCAGCCTAAATATGACAACAGTATTCCATAAAAGGATGAATAAGAGATTTATAGAGGTAGAGAAGGAAATCAGGATTAAGAAAATGGCGAGCACGATAAAGAGAGGCAACCTTAGTAGCTGCTAACTTTAACAATTATTTGTATATATGGCTTTCATGAGTAGTCAGTTTGGGAATGATAATCCAGGAAGAGGTAAAAAAAAAAAGAACTCAGTGAAAGAGTTACCATTAATTAATATAGGAATGTCGTCAGATTAAGATTGTTGCTTGCTATAGAAATTAAGAAGCCACTGCAAGCCCCAAGCTGTTAAAAATCTTGATTTTGTTTGATTTTGGCCTAGTTTGTATTTGAAATTAAATTTGCATGTACATAAAAGTTACATATTTCTAGATTTTATCTTATTATATTATTTATCAAGTAATATAATAAGATAAAATCTATCATATGGCCTAGTTTGTATTTGAAATTAAATTTGCTTGTACATAAAAGTTACATATTTCTAGATTTTATCTTATTATATTACTTATCAAGAGTTTTGTAATATTTCTAAACAAATCATCATCTCTAAAGTTGTTTTAACGAGACACCCAACTTAATTTAGGGGAATTTATGTTCATCATTCTCAAACATTTTTAATTTAAAAAAAAAAGTTTGAATTGTTATGGTTTTTTAATTATTTCAGATTATTTATATTCTAGAAGTATTTTTATGTTTTATTTTTCATTTTACACTTTTTATATTACATACCTATTTTTCAATTACTATATCTCCTATTTTTTTATTTTTTTTTATTTTACATAGCTTTTAAGTTCTTCTGAAGATAGTTTTATCAGGGTTTGGGATTTGAATAAGGTATAGAGTTATACATATTTTAGAGTTATACATATTTTAAATTTTAAATGTTTTATAAAATTAAAATAGTTTATAAAAGTTTTAATAAAAGTATCTCTTGTTACTGATTCTTGTCTCACATACACAGTTCCAGAATCTTTCAGAAAGATTCTTGTCTCACACACAGTTCCAGAATCTTTCAGAAAGATTCTTGTCTACAATCACATACACAGTTCCAGAAACACAGCTGCTTTAATAAAATAAAATATTTTTTTAAAATAATGAAATTTATTTTACTTCGAGTTATAATTTTTTCTACATTTTTTTTTTTTTTTAACATTAGCTTTTTGGACTTATTTTTACAGCATCGTTTATTTTTTATTGCATTTTTAGTATTAGTTTTGTTATTTGTTTGTGATTAAAAATTTAATGAATATTTTTTAGGGTGTAAAAATTTTTAAAATTGGTTAAAACAATGGCTTAAAACAAAATATAAGCTTCTGTTTGAATATTCAACTTTATAATGGTATTACTACTTTTTTTTGTCTCAGTCTCTCTATTCAATTTAAAGTATATCTATAGATGAATCAAAATTGATTACGAAGCTGCTCTTGCTTCCATGGCTTTATTTGTACTAAGTTCCATAATGATTACACATCTTTTGCCAGATAAAAGATAACAGCAAATTTTTCTTCAATTGTGATCAAAAATTAAAAAAACAGATTTTCTTTTTTTTCACATTTACACTCATTTTCAGGTATATAAAATCTTTATACATTTTATTTTAATTTTTATTTGCCATTTTCAGCTCTTTTGCAATCAAACACTACTGTTTGATTGCAAAAGAATGTCAAAAAAATTTAATATTCCAGTGTTTAAAAAGGTAAAATAAAATTTTTACACACATAATTAGTTAAGTTTTTAATTTTTCAAGTTAACACAAAAAAAAAAAAAGAAACTAACTTTATATTTCTTTTATGTATATTAAATATACATAAAAGAAAGTTTCATAAAACAACCTTTATATTGCAATCAAAAAATTAACACTAATATAATACTAAAATGTTAATTTTAGTATTATATTAGTGTTAATTTTTAAGTTAAATTAAGTGTTAACTTAATGTTACTCATTAAGTTTAATGTTACTCATTAAGTTTAATGTTACTCATTAAGTTTAATGTTACTCATTAAGTTTAATGTTACTCATTAAGTTTAATGTTACTCATTAAGTTTAATGTTACTCATTAAGTTTAATGTTACTCATTAAGTTTAATGTTACTCATTAAGTTTAATGTTACTCATTAAGTTTAATGTTACTCATTAAGTTTAATGTTACTCATTAAGTTTAAAATCTTAAGAAGTTTTAACTTAAAACTTCTTAAGATTTTGTAGATAAAAATTTTAAATTTTATTGTTTTTATTTCATTTGTTGTTTAAAATGTATTTTAAGTCTTTTAAAAATTAATTTTGTGAGTTTACATGTTCTCACAGAGATCACATTCAAAAATGTTTGATTTTGTAATCTAATTTATATTAACTGTAAACACTTTGTGCCAATATATTAACTGTAAACACTTTATGCCAATATATTAACTGTAAACACTTTAAAAATATTTTATTATATTTAAAATCTTGTGTATGAATATGAACAAAATAATGTGATGGTATTGGTATAAAAAAAATTACTAGCCCTTTAGATACCTTTTGTTGAAATTAATAAAATTGCTAACTCATGAAATAAAATTACTAACTTTAGATTAAAAAAAAAATTGGGAAGCAAACTTTGTCACGAAAAATTGGAGTATTTATTTAAATTTTGCGAAATTTGAATTGAAAATCAAATGAATTTTTGATTATTAAAAAATGCTCATAAATAAGAGTTGTAAAGTTTTTTGTATGTATCTTGATAAAAAGACTAAATTTTTTTTTTTCCTGCATCCATGTATATGTATGGATGCAGCAAAAAAAAAAAAAGTGATGTTACCCAATTGGATTTTGATTTTAAATTGATTTCATTAAAATTTTTATTTTTAAAGATTACTTTAACAAATAATGCAGACAATGAAATAATATTTTTATTACTAGTATATTTTGTTTGTTTGTAAAGTTTGTAAAGCAATATTATAATTTATAAAACAATGTTTGTAAAACTTTTAATTCAAATAAAAGTTTTAAAATGGTAATTCAGTTTCATTTTGAAGTTTCTAGGTATCTCATTCTTAAATTATTGCAAGAGGTTCTTAAATTAAAGTTGAATATTTGAATATTAAAAAAAATAAAAGAATCAACCTCACAATAATACTCAATAATAATTATTAGGAAGGTTTATTTATAGGTTATATTATTTTTTTATAGGTTATATTATTTTTTGAAAGGTTATATTATAGCAAGCTTATCGTCTTCACATAGTCAAATGCCAATGATAGAATGTGCTCCTCATATAAGCCATTTTCTGATGTTTCATGTTTTAAAGCATTGAAAAATTTATTACTCCTGTGCTTATGAACATCTAAATCAGTCTGCGCTGCTCTTTTAGCTACATTATTGAGATGTGGTGATTTTAATCTAAAATTCAATTCTTCACACATGCAACAAGTATCCACTTGTGGGCGCCCAAACCATAAGTTAAAATTAGTTTTAAAATGGTTCCAGTAAAAAGACTTGCTCACTTTTAAATCTGGATTTTTTTCACAAAAAAGTTGCCACATTGTTTTTACATTTAAACTTGCATTGAGGTAATATACTTTTTTCCCTGAGTAATGTGATTCCTTGAGTGGAAATGATCTTATATGATTACTGACAATGTCATGAACATTCTGAGAAAGACAATTAGTAATACCTCTACCTCTTTTATCTTCAGGGTTTATTCCAATAACCTTAAGGTTCCTTATTCTCCATAATCGTTTTTCACTAATACTTAAGACAGACTGCAACATATCTCTATGCGTACATTGCCTACAATCACATGATAGGAGAAGCTATTTGGCTGCTTCCGGTTTTCAAGATCTTTTTGATGTGGCACTCTTCTTTTAACTTTAGTGACATCTATTAATCCTTGAATATAAAAATCTTGTTTTTCTTTGCTTTTTATATCATAAAATTTGGAAAAGATATCCACACAGTTAGCCTCTCCAAAGTTCTCCAAACACTTTTTTTTGCACCTTAAAAAAGAAATGAGAAAAATAAATGTAAAATTAATGCAAGCTAGAAAACGTTTTTATTAAAATACACAGCATTATTTATAATCTTAAACAGAGAACATTGCCACAAAAGTTGTGGGGAAATAGACCAAATCATATTAAGAGTTTTTGACTTTTTAGTGCTTCCACCTATGTTATAATCTCAATTACTATATAGGTCTAGGCTTGCTATAACAAGATTTAACTATTCAGTGTATATTAACTATCTGGAAAAAAAATCATAAAACTTAGCCAACTGCATATTAAACTACTATGCAAGAAAGGTTTAATATGTAATATCTGTAAATTATTTACTTATGTAACATTATATACCCATAATCTACGTACTATAGCTGGTTTAGACTTAGGGTTAGCTTTTAGGGTTAAAATATTTTGAAGTATGTTATTTCATAAATTTTAAACATATAAACATATAATATATCTAAATTATTTTAAACTCATGCTTTCATGAAATAAGATTAATGTTTCAAAATTTTATAGTATAGTGTTTTTTATAATTTTAGTATAATTTCATGTAAACATAAGACTTATGTAAACATTAAATTTATGATAAGTTGAAAATGATTTAAATATACTATATGTAAATATATATATATATATATATATATATATATATATATATATATATATATATATATATATATATATATATATATATATATATATATATATATATATATATATATATATATATACATATATTGGATGTTTGAAACTTACCTGCAAGTAAACATAGGGTACTTTGGTGGAACTTCATTTTTCTTATGATTTATGTATGACTGTCCCATTAAACGTCCTTGTTTTATTTTGTTATGTTTGTACTCACAAGGATAACTTTCTTTCCTTTTTTTTAGGACTTGGAATAACAAGGTCCATTAAAAATCTTATAATAGCAACAACAACATACGAAAAACTATTTACATTTTCTGCGTATTGCGCCTAAATATACGAATCAGCTGAGAGCGATTTTTTTAAAAAGGGCGTATTTGAAGCAAATTCGCCTTTTTAAAAAAAATCGAAAACTTTTAGGTGGCTTTATTTGAGTAAGATGATAAAATTTAAACATATTTTTAACATTAACTGATGAAGTTATCATAGAAGAACACAGAACACATAAAAAGTGAATTTCTAAAAAAATGTCAAATCAGCTCTTTTAAAAAACACTGATTCATATGTGTGTGTGTGTGTGTATATATATATATATATATATATATATATATATATAATATATATATATATATATATATATATATATATATATATATATACACACACACATACACACAGATATATATATATATATATATATATATATATATATATATATATATATATATATATATATATATATCTGTGTGTGTATATCTTCTATAGTGTATAGATATACATTTGTCGATATTTTTGTTTACTTTATTCTATATGGTTTTTTAAGAAAAAGAAGAAAAAAGCAAAGAATAATGAAAAAATTGTTGTCCCAACTCAAACATTCAGTCGATGTAGCAGTATTCCTTGCATATAATCTCTATTTAGCCAATCTTTTTATGTATTAAAACCCCTGGCAGCTGGCTATTTCAGACTGCTTATCTAAAACATGAGCTTCATGTATATTTCATGTTTATCTGCATTTAAAACTCAAACAATTAACTAGGGAGTTAGGAAACACTGGTTGGGAGTATAAATTATGAAGGTGGTTCTTTTAAATTGCTTAAAGAGATATCAGTAAGCCTAGATTTAGTGGTTAAATGATTGCAAATCATTTAATTAGCTGGTTTAATAGCCAAATTTTATATATTTGGTTGTTACTTGAGCACTAGTATTTAA